AAAATATTTTTAAGGAACAGTAATGTTTCGATTAGACAGGGATGCAACAGGGATGTACACTTTCTTCCTCTCTGGTTTTCTTTCTTTTTCTTTTTAGCTTATAAAGAACTTTTTTCTTCTCTGGTTTTCCTTTTTTTGAAACTCAGTGTATAAATTTCTTTAACGTCTTCAATTTGGGGTTCTCAAACAGGAATACTTCTTATATTTCTTGTCCGGAGTTGCCTGGGTTGAACTGGATAAGTTCCATCACTATCAAATGTGTCTTATCTTTCCGTTGATAAACTATCAGCACTTCGGCTTCAGGTCTTGCCTTTTCAAAGTCCAGATAGCAACTGATTCTTGAGTGAATCTCTGACTATCACGTGTCTTAAGTTTTGGCACGAATTCTAGCTTACATCAGTCCCCTGTCTAGCTTCTGTCTAGACATTTGTCGCTACAGGTAATTGGGTCAGTCAATCTTTTGACCTGCCTTCCCAAAATGTCATAAGAATCCCACGTGACCTTTATTCCGTTGCTAGGCAGAAATTAACCTTGATATGTGCGTATATGCATGTTTAGGCTATCTGCTTTCATCACACAACACAACATACGGATGTATGTATTTTTTATATATATTGTTATATATTTGTACTTGTGTACGAGTACTTATGCATATATAAGTATATATGAGATATTTATATATATTTGTGTGTTTAGGCGTTTTCTTTTTTTATATATTAGCTGGTTTTATTTTTGCATTTTGCCTGGACATTTGAATTTGGTGTTTTTTATGTGAGTGTATACATATATATTTATATTTATATCCATTTCTATATATTTTAGTGTCTTTTTTCTTTGCGTTGTTCATTGACGAATATTTGTTTGTCTATTCTACCCCTCTTAAATTTTATCTATTGAACCCTCTTTTTATCTATATATAATTACTTTTTGCAAATGGGGCTCTTGTAGATATAAAAGAATAGACAAAATTTGTATATGGTCCAAGCTATTTATATATTAGCAACAATTATTGGTAACAATGACATCTGACTTTGCACTAGTTCAACCATCGACAACTCCAAAATAATTCCTTCAACACAATTCAACTCACAAGGTTTGGGTCAACATGTGGTAGAGTTTTCAGGCGCTTTCCAAAGGTGCTGCATGCTGGGATCGCCTCTACAGGCTGATAACTTTAAGAAGTCACCTCTCTGACAAATTTTTCATGGTGAGATTTGAGCCTGGATCTCATAATTAGAAAGCGAATGTCCTAATTACTCAGCCATGTACCCATATATAAGCATATATACACACCCCTATACTCTTGACAGATATGCATACATCTACATTACTGCCAGATATGCACACCCACACACGTCCCTTCACTCTCAATAGATATTCATACTTCTACATTATTGCCAGATATGCATGTATTGTACACACACACACACACACACACATTATATATATATGTGTGTGTGTGTGTGTATTTCGTTTAATATGACAAGGTGCTTTGATTTAGTTTTTATACAATTTCTTATAATTTTTTTCCTTTTCAGTAGACAAATTATATAAAAACTGTTCAAAATATAAGTTTTTTCTTTTCAGTGGACAAATTATAAGATCACATGAGAAATTGTATAAAAAATAAATCAAAGCTCCGTGTCTGTCATATTCAATGAAACATGCATTAAAGAAGGATTGCTGTCTAAATATGCAAATATATATATATATAATAATTATATTGAAGTTTTCGGCTCTTGTTTTGAAACATGAAAACTCTTATGTAGCGATGGAATCATATTTTTAAATAAATAATTATATTTAGGCTCTACTTTTGTATTAAGCACTGTTTTTTAAAAATAATAACAAAAATACTAAAGAACTTTGGATTATTTACCTAACAAGTTCTTTCCTATTTTCTATATATTTTCACACACATACACACACATATATATATATATATATATATATATATATATAGGGGCAGAAACCTTTTCTTCAAACATGTTTCATTGAATTTCATAGACAGGAAAAATTTTATGGATTTTTTATTTAGTTTTTCAGACATTCTTACATTTTTTCATTTGGAGATAATAAGGGAATGTAAAATTTGTAATGTCTATTGTCCGAAACACCTCTGACCACATCTTTAGCCATTTTCAAGAGGGTTTTGGTGTTAAGAGTTGTTAATTTCTTTTCATGTTTGACTGTTTAAGATGTAGTTTTTGGGATATCTAAATAGTATTAGCGTTTACTTCAAGCTCTACAAGTTGAATGTAGCTGGAATTCGAGTTGGCGTCTTTTTCTGTTGTTGTTTTCAAGCACTTTCCAAGCATTCTGAAATTGCCTTCCCTGGCCATTATTATCAGTAAGTCATATTCCTGATAAATCTAGCATGACAAGATTCGAAACCACGTCTTTTCGTCAGAAAGTGGACATTCTTACCACATGTCAATGTCTATATATTGTATACCAAAAGCACATGTTCCCATCCTGTTAACACACATGCATTGTATAAAATAATCTTCATGGATAGCAAAAAAAAAAAAAAAAAAAACTTACTTCACAATCAGCACAAAATGCTTCTACCTTTAAAGGAGGTACACACAAGTCTTTAAGTGTGTAAGGCATATTATTTCCATCTTTGGCCATGGAATACCTAACAGCACCTGTAAAAGAAAAAAAAATATGTATGTGTGGGTGTAAAAATTCAGATATAAATAAAATATATCTGTAAAAGACAATATGAATAAAGACAACGCATTTCATCCTCTGCTGGGCTTTATCAAGGCAAATATCAACAATAACAACATCAAAATAATTATAACCAGATCGAAAACCATTATGGATATGATCAAAACAGTAATAATCCTGAAGCAAGTATAGACAAAATAAAGTATCATATATGGAAAGTATTTTTAAAAACCTCCAATATCTTCATTATTTCATCCATAATGCTAAAAGAAAAGCATACAAAATATACTACAGATAAAGATAACATTATTAACAACAATCATAATAAAACAGATATATAATACTATCTACTAACTCTTTACCATCTACTATCAAAAGCAATTTATCTAATATAACATTATCAAAATAATTACAAACACATCTAAGTCTATTATGGATACGATCAGAACTAAAAATGTTAATAATAATTCTAAAGCAGGTATATGAGGTCTGATTGAAAAGTACTGGGACAGATGCTATAAAAAGATAACTACAACACATATCAATTCAGCATTTAATCTCCTTTGAAGTAGTCCCCTTCTGAAGCCACACAGTTTATCCAGTGTTGGTTCCATTGATGGAAGCATTCCTGGAACTCCTTTTTTTGGAATAGCAAGCAGCTCTCTTGGATTTTCTTGACATCATCTTCCTTTCAAGTGAGATTTGATTTTTGAAGAAAAAAAAGTTGCAAGGGGTGAGATCTGGGGAATATGATGGTTGTCAGACCTAGGAAATGTACTTGGCCAAAAACTCTTGTACAAGCCATGTTCAATGATAAACTTCTGTGGTGTGGTGAGATGACCACACTCTACACACTTTTCTTCCAAATACTGCTATAAACAGAAGTGAGCAAAAACATAGTGTGTATGCGCAACAAAGTTCAAGATCAAGCCGTTTCACTGTGTACTTTACTTCCATTACTATAGCAACAGTTGCGATACTTTTTGATTGGACCTTGTATTTAAAATAAACAGTCACACATGTTCCTTATAATATATTAGAGAAACTTGCAGATATTAAAAAATGTATCTATGGACACAAAAAGAATCTTATACATAATAATTTATTAAATGCATTAGTCATACACAGAAATAAGATCAAGTACAACTTTATCTGAAAAATACCGGGCTTTTAAAAAGAAAAAATAACTTAGTGTTATACTGGAACGTACCTATTTCTATTGTAAATAGACTCTCCCACAGATAAGTAGTAGTAGCAGTCGCCAGTAAAGCTCAGTGAGTTGTGTGAGTCAGTCGATGTCAGACATTAAAGTATGAGCCCCACAACTAGATTGCTGCGTCATTAACTATTATTTCAAGTTCCTAACGTTTTGTACGCCGGACCCTTTTAGGACCGACTCGGTAAAATACAAGCCTCCACTGTAAAAACTACTTTGCAACAGTTAGACAGTGCTTTAGAGTGCCACTAGCGAATCTTGCCAAAATATTAATCTACACTCCAAATTTTTTCAAATATCTCCTTTCCTAAAAGACATACTCCTTTCACAAGCAAATATACATAATCGTAAAAATGAAAAAACAGTTAAATCAAAAACTTAGATTATTCAAAATAAATACATAAATAATTTATCGAATTAAAATAATTACATTAATAAATAAAAAAGTATATAAATATATATAAACAAATAAGAAAATAAAAACTCAACATTTACTTTGGTTTATTAGGCATTAAATTACATCACTTACCATCCTCCATAATTTGCCTTGACTTTCAGTTAGCTTAATATTTCTGAGTATTCTTAAATTTAAAAATGAAAAAACTAATGACATTTTTACTTCTGTTTATAAATACATGTTACAAAATAAAATCCTCAATTTTATTTTGATAAAGTCCACCAGTAGGAAATGTGTTGGTAAAAGGCTTTCCTTTTGTTTTCATACACACACACACATATATATATGTATGTATGTGTGTGTGTGTATGTATGTGTGTGTGTGTATAAAAATTGATGAATATCAAACACTTAAAATTCCATAGGTAATAATTTTTATTTCATGAAAGCTTGGAAATTCCATACAGATTACCATTTTCTATTATTAATATATATAAAATTCAACTCTAAAGTACAATAACTCTTTCTTAATCATCATCCCCATTCTCTATGTGCCATATCATTTCAAGATGAGAACTCTCATAGCTCTCCACAACTTCCTTTAGGGTTGTTCAAAGTAATTCATGTACCTTTATGATCCCTCTTTACTGAAACCTCTAAAGTAGGTTACTGTTTTCTCTTGCTATTAATGATTTCAAGGAGTGTTAAATTTTCCAAGCACTCTTTCCTCATTCTTTGAATCCCAAGAATTTCAACAGTCTTTTTATTGTTCCAGTTCCCATTAAAACTTCCTCATTTCTCAAATACTCTGGTAATCTTTACATTTGTCAGCAGTTCTCGTTCATATTTTTAATAAAATTCAAATAAATTTTTTTTTTTTTTTTCTAATTTTCAATTGACTGATTGATTCATTTTCTATGGCTTATCAACCTTTTGCAAGTTATTTAAAGCCAGAAAATATTTTTAGATTCTAAAAATTTTTTGGGTTTAGTGATACAAGTCTTACTAATTAACCCATAGCAAGGGAGAAGAGGTGGATTCCGACCTTTGTCAAGGGTATTTGTGTGCAAGTTAATATAACAAACCCAACAGGAATTGGAACTTGGATCTCTGATTAACAATTCCAAACCATTATCCATTACTCCATCTGCACATCTAAGATTGCAGCACCTGGTATTCCCAAGCACTCACCCATCTAGGTACCAACCAGGCTCAACATTGCTTAACTTCAGAGATCGTACCGGAACTGGTGTTTTAACATGATGTGGCCATAAACAACACTGATTTTTTAAAAGCAGTTTTACATATTTGGCATTTAGGATTCATTCTTGTATAAGCACTGAACCTTTTAACTTCTATAGGGGGAAACAGCTAAGATCTAATTTCTTTCTAAATTACTGGGATGAGGAGTTATCATTATTTACACTATTTATATAGGGGCTATTGTCCTGATCTTTGTTTTTTGTTATCGCGTTTCAGCTGTTGCGACTTCTGGCCTTCATCAGGTATATATTGACCAAGGTAACCTGCAAGGAATTCTGAACTGAACCCTTTATTTAATCTAAGGGAGGAGACTCTTCTCATTCTACTGCACATATATAGGGATATCTTCTCTTATTCAGTACGGCTCATTTATTGTTCACTGCCCGACCCAGAGATTGAACTCATAGTTACTATGTCATCAAATTCAAAAACCAACGCTTTAATCCACTAGTCCAGTGCTTCCCAAATGATGTGAATACCTCATAGGCACTGTAGAAGAGGATAGTAGGTGAGGTAGAATGACTGAAAGACAAAGATTTAGAGAGTTTCAAAAAAATTCATTTGCCAAAAATGATTTTGAAATTTCAAACATTGTTATGAATTACTTGCAGCTGCATGCATGAATCCCAGCATAAATACTTATTGACTGATTTTATCTTTGTATATTTTTGCCTTGTACCAAGTATTAAGAATATAATAACTAGAGTCTGCAAATTGGAGGAGAGAGTCATCAATGATAATGTTCTGACATCAAATCCACAGTTATCTCTCTTTAACCCTCTCTCTGGACCTTCTGCTGTACAGCTGCTCGCACCTTTTCATTGGGACTCCTCTTTGATGCGTGAGCTAATTTTCATTACAAAAATGCAGCCCAGATAAAAAAAAGTTTGGGAACCATTGCACTAGGTGATTGTCGCATAGGACAATTCTCTGTGGAGAAGTTAGATAATTGCCAGGTGATAAGTGCTGCTACCCTGTGTCATACTTGACTGCACTTACTGATCTAATTGGAAAATAATGATAATGGCTGACAGCTTGATTCAGAGTAAGCTTATCTGCTAGAAAATATATAAATGCTTATTTGTACAATGTATTTATTGCAAAGTGTATTTGCTACAAAACATTCAATTGTCTTCTTATTCATCAAATGATGCCAATCTATGATTGCATAACACCAAAACAGCAAGAGTTAGTATTATAAAGCTTTCTCTGCTCACACATAAAACCTTCAGAGTTAAATTAAAGCTAAATCAATTCTTTCTTTTTGTTTAACTGTACAAAGATGTCTAGAAAAGATTTCCTAGCAAGAAACCAAAGTCATAAGATTTTTTTTTTTTGGCATTTTTCTCTAGACACTGAAAAATAAAAAGATGAGAAGTTATACTTTATTAATCAGACTCATCTTTAAGACTTTATTCATCAATCAATCCTTGTATGCTTGAGGAGAGTTCAATTGACTTCATTTTGATCCAAGTTTCATAATTCTACATGGTCTGAAACTTGTTTTACAAGATTGGAGATCTTGCTTATCAATGAAGCCCTGTAGTTTTAAATAGAAATGAATGTACTTCATTTTGATACAAATTTGATAATCCTCTTTGGTCTAAAATTTGTTTTATAGAATTGGAAACCTTATTTATCAATCAAGCCTTGTAGTATTGAAGAGAAATAAATTTCTTTCATTTTGATACAAATTTCATAATTCTTTCAGGTCTAAAATTTCTTTCATCAACTTGGAGACCTTATCACTCATCATAATTTTAGAAATAAATAACTGTTTGATACTGATTTTATAGGATTGAAAACCTTATCAATCACCCCCCCCACACACACAATACACACCTAATTTTGAAGAGAAATAAATTTATACTATTTACATTATTAGGACTATTGTCCTCATCTTTGTCGCCATGTTTATCACAATGTTTCGGCCACTGTACACTCCGCCTGCTTCAGGTGGGTGGAATGTCAAACTGAACCCTGAATGTCACTGGAGTAGACTGTTCTAGTTCCACGGGCCATATCTATTATCAGTTATCTCCTGTTAATTCCCCTCTGAAAGTTCTCCACTGCATTAACCAGGTATTGAACTCACACTCTTTGGATCCTGTCACTGGATCTAACTAAAATAATTTTATTTAAGTATAATACAATTTTCATTATTCTAACTGTTCTCTAACTTGTTTTATCAGATTGGAGACCTTACTTATGAAGTAACCCTAGTAAGTTTTATTAGGCTCAGGTTTGGTCTACATTTCCAAGATTTGAAAAATATTTTTACTTTTTTTTTTAAACTTTTTTTTTTTTCAAGTCACCATAATTTTGCTTCTTACAGCATCAGTAATTTTATTCATAATTCATATTTTACTTTTTATTTATATACTTACCAGGATCAACTCTCAGTATTTTCCAGTATATGTACAGCTGAAGAACAGTGAGAAAAGGGGAAAGGCAGTGTAAAAATATGTATTCTCTTGTATCTGGTAAATAAAAGTTAAGGGACATAGGGCTGAAAAGTTGTCAAAAGAAAAAAAAAAAATTATTATTGGCATTACTGAGTTTATCTGATGTGCTTGTAAAAAAAATAGGGAAGAATGTGCGTGTGTTATTTTTTTTTAGGTGTGGGGGAATTTTTGAAAAAGAAAAAAAAAAACACCAAGAAATAATTATTGGTACTACTGAAGTTATCTGATCAGCTTGTAAAAAACAGGGATTTTTTTTTTTTTTTTTGCTGGGGAAGGGGACAATTTTTGTTCATTAATCCTTCCTCTATTCACGGTGTTTATCAGAATAGAAAAAAAAAAATATTCATATTTTATCGTTTTTGAAGGAGAGTCCGCTTCATAATGTTAGATTCTTCCTAAAACCCCGCAACACTAATTTCCACCACGGGCTGGATGTGAAAACTCTGAAACTCAAAACTGAATTAAAATGACATCAACTGCGCAAGGCTCTGCACATATTTTCCATTTTTACTAACACACTCAAAGAAAAAATAAGCAATATAATCCAGAATTTTCACCCAATAGCAACCACCCCCACCTAAAACAAAATAAAAAACAGAGCTGATTTGAGCCTAAGGAAGGACATAAATGACAATCAAAAACCATTTTCAGCAGTTCAACGGCATCTTGGCTTGGGTTCACAAACTTTGGCAGAAAGCAACCTCCCAACTCCAACAGACAGCTCACCAAAGGCTGTCACCCAAGTAAGTCACAACTCATCCTCTGTCTTCTTCTGTACACCTCTGCGGACACCTTTTACAACTCCACTTACCTCTTTTGCAAAATATATATATATATATATATATATATATATATATATATATATACACATACATACATCGATTTATCATTTGTTGTATTTTACGTTAATACTGTAGTTTATTTCTTTAAACCTTCATTGTTTCTTCTTTGTTCTGCCACTATATATGCATAATATAACAACCACAAAGATAATGTTGGTATTGCTCAGCAACCGTGACATATTTGGGAAGGATATTAGAATAATCAAGAACCTATACTGGCAGCAAACGACCTGCATACAGAAAGAAAATGACATTCAGCAGATATACAAAAATAGAAAGGAGGGTAAGACAAAGATGCGTCTTCTCAATCTGAGCCTAAGAAAGGACATAAAAGCTCATTGAAGGGAGATTTTAGGAAGATGGATAGAATCTTGGACCAGGTTCACAGACTTCGTCATAAAGCAACCTCCCATATCCAAAGTGACAGCTCACCAAAAGCCACTGCCTCAGTAAGTCACAACTCACCCACCCTCTCCTACTGTACACCTCTACAAACATCTTTTACAACTCCACTTCTTCAACAAGAGACATTTACACCAATTCATCATTTGTTGTAAATTACTTTAATACAATTGTTTATTTCTTTAAACATGCATTGTTTCTTCTTTGTTCTGCCACCATGCAAGTAATATAACCTAACATAAAATATATAGTAAAATTTTGATAACTTATAATCTTAATATAACAAAAATATAAAATACAGTATCAAATCAATCTCTGAAAGTTATTTGTACATTGCTTTCCTTTACATATGACAAGCTTGAAACTGTGCTTACATCATTGATAACTGTGCTTACATCATTGATAACTGCATACTATTATGAATTGGGAAAAAGTAAAGACTATATCAGTAATACAAAATTGACAATGATGTAAGCACATTTTCAAACTTCACATAAGTGAAAACAAAGTACACAATAATAAGAATTCAGAGATTGATTTGACACCAAATTTATATTAAGAATAAAGCCACCCTTCTAAAATGATAAAAAATAATGTCATGCCATAGGTAAAGGAAGGTTGAATGAATGCTGATATACAAATGAAGCTCTATTGAATGCCGGCATACAGATGAAGGTCTAATGGATGCCGGCATACAGACGAAGCTCTATTGAATGCCGGCATACAGACGACGGTCTAATGAATGCCGGCATACAGACGAAGGTCTAATGAATGCCGGCATACAGACGAAGGTCTAATGAATGCCGGCATACAGACGAAGGTCTAATGAATGCCGGCATACAGATGAAGGTCTAATGAATGCTAATCTAAAATTATTCAAAAGAAAATTCCCTATTTTTTTTATGAGAAAACTAGTAAACCTAAGTAGTTCTGTTTCATTTTTTCTTCTTTTTCTTTTTAACAGCTTATCAACCTTTTGCAGAAAGACAGAAAATACTTTTAGATTGTAAGAATTTTTGGTAGGTAATAATGATTTACTGATACAAATTCTAATTAACCCCTAGATGGGGAGAGAAAAGGCGGATTTATTTATACCTTCTCCAAGAGTATTTGTGCATAAGTGAATATAACGAACATGATTGGAATTGGAACCTAGCTTTACAATTTCCAATTCTGAGCTGTTATCCATTGCATCACCCATACATCCAAGCTTACAGCACTAGATATTCCCAAGCATTCACCCATCTAGGTACCATCCTGGGTCAATGGTGTTCAGAGGATGAGATATGGAGAAAAAAATAAGAGAAAAAGATATTGGTACGTAAGAGAGACCTACATTGGGACAACCCTTCAAATTCTCTCGTAATACACAGGAACAAAACTGGCCTTAACAGTGGTTTTATAAATGCCACACTAATTGAAAAAAGAACATAATTGTTTACATAGAAAATATTTTACCATCTATAAACACATGTCAAACATACTTATTACTTATTGTATTACATCAGCAACTTTTATAAAATTCACAATTAAATAATGTAAGATATGTCTACCTATTACTACAACTGGTGTTACGTAAAAACATCCCCAAATCAATCTGCAGACAACCACCAAACAAATGAAAATGGCACACACAAACAAATATACATTGTCATCAGAATACTGCATAGACAAACTAGAATTATGATACACTTACACACATAAATAATACACATGAACATTGCTTTACAAGATAAATGCATGTGAAGTCTGTTTCATTAGTTTAGAACACAAAAATTAAAAATAATAAAAAGTTTTTCTTTCTTACTTTTTCTCCTTATCTCATTCTCTGATGAATCTTTAATAAAAGTGAAATAGATTTTGAAATGTTTCCTACTTGTTTCTTATCCTAGTGTGTGTGTATATATATATATATATATATATATATATATATATATATATATATATATATATACACACACACACACACACACACACGGCATATGGCAAGAGATATCCCCAGACGAGGCTCTGCCAGGGGCAGAGTCCGTCTTGGGGAAACTGACTCAGTTTTTTACATGGTCTATAAGAATTTTTTGAGTTCACGGCTCGGATACCTCACTTTAAACTCGGCCTTTTGCCACATCTTGCTGTGTGGGACAGTGGGTAAATAATTATATATATTACACACACACACACACTTTATAATCGAGGCATGGTGGAGTGATGGATAGTGGATTAGATTAAAAAATTGGAGACCCAGGTTCCAGTTCAATTCCAGTTGGGCTTGCTACATTCACTTACATGAAAATACTCTTGGGAAAGGTATAAATTCCTTTCTTCGCTCACCCCAACTATGGGTTAAATAGGACAAACCGTGGCCTTGGTTGGCAACTGGTCTACCAGAAGGAAAACTGAATTCAAAAGCTCCACCTATGTGTTAAATAGCCTCACCAACCTGCAATTGTCCAAGCATGGTGAGTATGACTACACTCACCAAAGGGAGTGGTTACTCCAACAAGAGTGAGGAGAATTTGGATATATATTTTATAATTATATATAAATTATAATTTCATTGAAATATATTGGAAAATTTCCAAGTTTTCTTCTAAAATCAAGAAATTCATGATCACAATATAATGAACAAAAAAAAAAAAGTACCAAGGATGTACAAATTGTCCTGAAGGATTTAAAAATAGCCAGATTTTTACCAAACAGTCCATGTATATTTTTAAAAAGAAAATTAAGGCGATTACACATTTACATCACTTATTTTCTGGTTCCAAACCCATGCAAGATTATCTGTTTTTTCAGAGTGACACAAGCCTGATAATAACAATTCAATAATACACCTGACCTACTAATTATGTATATCTCATATCAATATAGCATTAATAACTGTAAGAAATTTATATTAAACTAGAACTTTTTGTAACACATTGACACATGTTCAAATCCTCACAGTATAGTTGAATTTATCGTTAACATTTTTGTCAAGATTTACAAACTCTATATTTTGTTCAATTTCACAAAACAATTGATGAAATTTGAATAAGCTGATTTGTTTGGAAACATACTGACAAAAACCCTGTTTCACAGTATAATAATTTCTTTAATTTAATAGGACTTTATGGTAAGCAATATTTTTTAAGAAAATTTCTTTTTCCTTCTTAACAGTGAGGAATAAATTCTTAGGATTTCTTACTCTTGAACATGCAATATACAACTGGCCATGCAAAGATATTTCTTTCTGGAGCCAAATTCTAACTTTTTGAAGCGTTTGGCCTTGTGATTTGTTTATAGTTCTTGCAAACACAGGGCAAACTGGTAACTAGATTCTTGTATATATAAAAAAAACTTAAGATATGCAGAAAACAATATTGCATTTTTATTAAATAAGTATTTGTTATTTTAAACATTAAATTGGCACCTGGGCATTAAATTGTTTTTAAAATAATGGTAGGCGTAATGGTTATTTTCACAGCTTGTCTTGCTAGAACAATATGACTGACTAGTTGGTCCGATCCTCATTAAACCCCATACTTTCCCAGCCTTGTGCCCATCTAATACGTTTAGAAAATCAATATTTAACCATTAAATTGTTTTTTAAAAAATAATGGTAGTATTTTATATGTTAAATAATAAAACTTAATTTTCATATAAAAAAAATAATAAAATTTATTGTACTAAGCTACACACCTAGTAAAACCAATTGTATGTTGTAAAATATATATATATATTACCTGTTGCACTTCTCCCCAAAATTTAAAATATTTTGAGCAGTCAATGTATGGCTATTTTATATATATATAAAACTAACAAATAATTATATATATATATATATATATATATATATATATATATATATATATATATATATATATATATATATATATATTTATTAAATATACTGTATATACTTGAGTATAGTCAAGTTTTTACAAATGTATTTATCACTATTTAATCAAGCCAGCTTAGACATTTATATATATATCAATATATAATTATTATCACAGTCTTTTGAGTATGAAGTTCGGAAGGTCATTAGGGTGGCATTCTGTGTTATATCATAGTTGATTAATATGGGTGGTTGCTGTGTGACCAACCAGTCGTGTGCCATGATCAGATCACTCACAAATTCTTGTTTTACTCACCAGTGGTGTCCTGCAAATCACATTCTTCATTCATATAATATGGTAGAAATATTGGGGATGGGTCCATAGCACTGTGATTTAGTTGGATGTTGTCTCCAAGAGATGTTAAGTATAGCTCTCAGCATCAGAGTCTAGGTTCTATCAACCTTAGGATCAAAGATTTTAGTTAATGTCCAAAAGCAGTGACAGAATACATAAAACCACCTCTACAGTGGCACAAAATAATCTCCATTTGAGGTTGTCTGGTTGATCAGATTTCTAGATAACGTCCATTTTACTTAAGTTGGCCCAGGATTTACCTATGCAGATTTTCCCATCCATTTTAGTAAAAATTATTTTACTTCCTAGATATGTAAAAGAATCAAGAGATTTTATTGATTCACTTGAGACAGTTTGTATTGAACCTTGCTGTTTGAATCTTATAAATTCAGGTTTAGGGTCCAGCATTGGCCAAAACATTTTCTAGCTGATGAAATAGAACTGTGGCATTGCCAATGGAATCTACAGTGAAAGCTATGTCACCTGCATAGTCAATATCAACCAATTTTTTTGAGGGATATTGACTTGAATCTTGGCGATAAAGTAAAACCTAGCTTTGTAAAAAAAAGAATGAAAACCATTTATTCGCTATAAAATATGCCCAGGATGATGCTCAGTGCTGTAATATTCAACTATGGTAAGCCTACTAGTATTGTTCAGAAGCTGGGGTTGCATTATACATGTAATGAAAAAATATGTGAATAAAAATATATGAAAAAAAATATATGAAAAAAAATAAGGTTTTTCACAAAAAAAGTTCAAAAGGTTACAGTATACGTGATGCTGGTTTACCCCCAAATGTTAACTCCTGTGCCTAAAAGCCACATGAGTTAACTTTTAGCCAGAAGTGGAGTAAACGTTTCTCCTCAGATTAGATGGGAGAAGGCACTCAATCCTGGTGATCCCATCCCTGTGGCAGCACCTTCCTCATTGCATTAAGAGAGCTAGAGTCAGCATAATATCAATGCCAGGGTGACAGTGCTAGTGGGGACTGGGCAAAAATTTTTGTACTTGGCTCATAAGCATACATATGTGTATGACGCTCTTCATATAAAAACAACTGTGTCATGTCCTGCCTTAGTGCTAAATATACCTGTGGCTTCTTGGTGAATTAGTCTGGCAATTGTGCTAAATTCAAATGCTTATATGTAACTATGTCCCGATTAAAAGAGGAGCCAGGTCATCTGTTGCCAGAAAATTATTGGTGTTTTTTGGGGTTTTTTTTATGTAAAGGTTTCAGTACTAATTCATCATATAATTATAATGACCAAAACATTACGAATTAAGAGAGTGGATTAGTTTGGTCCAAAAGATATTTGTTAAAATTTTCAATTTTTGTTTTATGGCAGATGAAAGGATACAAGGTAAAAGAATGAAGTAGTACGTGAAGAAAGAATAGAGAAGACCGGCTGAAAACATTCCTGCAAACATTGGATTTGGCCATCTGTTAAAAAAAGAAAAAGGAAATAAATAGAACCACAAACAATTATTTGAAAATAATAATAATAATAAATTACTTTTTTATAATAATATTTATACAAAATTGTTTATTTGGGTAATAATAAGCTTGTATACAAATTGCATTAAAGATCGCTGACAAGGTACTGGGATTAAACTTTTCATTTAATTTTTCTTGTGTTCTTACAAGTGTTTTCTTTTTTGGATACAATGTGAGGAAAAACTGTTCAAAAGTTATGCATATCTAAGCTCTTTTGGCTATTCTTTTAGCCATTATCAAGGAAGATTTTTATTTTTAACTGAATGTCTTTTTTTTGTATGCATCTCAAGTTATAGGTATGTTTTATATAGTTAGCATGTTTTGGCCATGTTCATAGTTAATGTTATTGCATGTTGGCTTTTTCTTTTTTATTATTAAAACTTCCATTATTTTTCATTTTTTTTTTCACATGTAGATGAGGCTATTATACTTGTAACTTCTACTAGTATGCTGTGGATGGAGTTTGATAGGTTCCTGTGTGTGTTTAAATGAGCCCTAATTGAGCTATGGTCAAATAGGTGTAACATGAGTCATCTACACAGGTATGTAATAGTATGACCAATATAATTATTTATGAATTTGGTTTGATCAAGAACAGATCCTTAAGGAGTATGTGAACTCATAAATAATATTGGTTCTCTGTAATTTAAATATTGCAGGCATATACACAGGGTGAAGCAGAGAAGATGGATGTTTTTGAAAGTAATAGCCATTTCAAAAAGATCCGTCATCAATGCCTCACCCTGTGTGTGTGTGTGTATATATATATATATATATAAAATAGTAAAAAAGAAAGAACAGTAAGATATATAATACAGTGTTCTTATTGATATTTTTATTTTTACAAAACAGTGCTCAATGTAATTTAATTATATAATTAAATTTGAAGTTTTTAGCTTCAGTTTTTGAAACATGGTAATTCCTGTGTAGCGAAGGAACCATATTTTTAAATCAGTTTATATATATATATATATATATATATATATATATATATATATACACTTTAAATGTTATTTTTTGTGGATGCTTATATTTGAGAAGATGCTATATTTATTTATTAAAACAGTATATTTATTTTCACCTGCCAGCCTAAATGTTTCAGAAATTTTAATAGAGAAAATTTGTGCTCTTTGGTGCAGATATGAAAAAAACTTTGAGAAATCTGTGACAGGAGAAATTTTGCTTCAAAGCATAAAATTTGCTTTGCTTGATTGTTTGTTTACATGGCCAAGTGGTAAGTTCCACTGGAGTAAACGGTGGCTCACTGTTCTGAGAGATGCAGGTTCAATTCCTGCTGAAGTGCACAGATTTTCCTTTAATAAGATTTCTTGAATATTCAGGCTAATAGCTGACAATAAATAAATATACTGTTTAATAAATAAAAGGACCACCTACTCGAATATGAGTATCCACTACATTGGGACAACTCTCTAAAAAATAATGTTTAAAGTGTTACAAATCTGTCAGATTAATAAAAATCCATTCTAAATATATATATTTTTGGAATAGATTTTTATTAATCTGACAGATTTTCTCGCTTAGATATTATTTTTAGCAGATATTCATATTACTAATTATTATTAATATTTTAAATTAATTTATATAATAAATTACAATCTTTATATAATTTTCCTATATATCAACCATTCACCCTTGCATGGAGTGTTGCTGCCATATATGGTCTGGAGCCCCTTCTGTTTACCTCGGGGTTCTTGATAAGATCCAGAGACGGATATGCAATATAATTGGCTCTGATTTGGCATCTCGTCTGCAGTCGCTCTCTCACAGACGTGCCATCAACTCTCTCTGTCTTTTTTACAAATACTTTCATGGTAATTGCTCCAATGAGCTGCTTTCACTGGTTCCAAGACTTTGTGAATTCAAGCGTCCTACGAAGCTGGCATCCCGCTCTCACCCTTTCACTGTTGAAAATGTTAAATGTAGCCACCTCTTCTACTCCAATAGCTTTGTGTCTTACACCTCTCGCCTGTGGAACTCCCTTCCCTACCCCTGTTTCCCTGATAGCTTTACTCTCCAACTATTCAAATGTAATGTCAATCGACATCTCCAGTTGCCTTGATCTATCTACTATCTTTCTCCTCATCCTTCTATTATTTAAGCAGATGGGAAGAATATAGAGGATTAGATGAGATAGTAATGATAATTACTATCTGCTCACCCAAATCCTCTGTAACCCATTCATATAGTGGCTTCATACATCTTGCTAGGGGTGAATGTTAAAAAAATATATATATATATATATATATATATATATTAAAAAGAAGAGAAAGAGATGCGTGCAAAACGTTTTTGGTTGTAATGGATTTATTTAGAAAAAAAATATTATGCTTTGTTTTACATAATTTTACGACCGGGTTTCTGGTCTCGTGACCATCTTCAGGTAAAAGCGGAGATTTCCACATGTTATTAAAAATAATTAATTTTTTCCTTATGTTCAATGTTAAATATTCTCAATATGAGACATTCTCTGTTTTTGTGTTAGTAATCCGAATTTCTTTCTTTTCAAGAAATTCAGCATCTATAAAAATCAAACTGCAAAAATACCAACTTAAGAGTTGATAATATATCTATTAATTGATTATAGCCATGATTTTAAAACTGATTGAGAGCGAAGAAATCTTGAATTTATTTTTAATTATTTTAAATACACTTCACCTCACCTGTCTTTGGGTTATTTTTTTTAATCATTTCATCCCATGAAAGGCAGTAAAGCCACTAAGATACAAGGCATCACTGTATGTGAAAGAATAAGAATAAAGAGAAACATTATTAAGGAAAGAGAACAATAGAAGAGTTATCAACAGATAATAATTGACATTGCATCTAAATTTTCGAGGGTCAAAGTTAGTTGAGAAGCATGGAGCCAGAAGCAAGTTCCACTAGTGAAAAGTGTCAGAGAAGAAACTGTTAGCATAGGACTTACGCTTGCTTCTAGCTAATTCAACTGTAAATTGATGAATCCTTTTTGTGTAAACTAGTCAGTTATGTGCCATGCATGATACATGCTTAGGCAATCATGTATCTTTCGATCCATGACTGACGAGGCAGATTTTTTTCCACAGTAGGTTGCCATATCTTTCTGCCATCCAAGGCTATAAAACCTGGTCTGTCGTCCTATTTACCCATAGTTGGGGTGGGAGAAGAAGAGGATTTATATCTTTCCCAAGGGTATTAGGATGTAAGTGAATGTAATGGATTCAAATAGAATTCAAGCTCAGCTTTCTGATTCCTCAATCCGAAACGCTATCCCTTACTCCATCGAATAGTACTGCACTTAAATTCTAGTCTAGGGACTATAAAGAAGAGTTCATCCAAACAATTACCATGAAATGTTTATAGAAAATGTTTATAGAAAATGTTTATAGAAAAAGCATAGGCCAGCAGGAAAGTGACTGAAGCCAAGACGAATGATTAAATAAATTCATTAAGTCTAAGTTCTATAAAAACTTGAATTTCAGGCTTGACTGGAACTTGGGTTTATTATTCAAATTGTATTTTTGATTTGTGAATTGTAGAATTAGGGTTTAGTGAAAAAACAGCAACCTACTGTGGGAAAACTTTTTTCTTAGTCATGAATCAAATGTTACTTGATCAACTAAGTCATGGAAATGACTTACTGAAATATTTTAGGATATCTGTTAAAATGCAGATGAGACAGTGCTGATAGCAGACATGGAAAGGAAACTACAAAAGCTCCTACAGAAGGTAGCAAAGGAAAGCAAGAAGAAAGGACTAACTACATAAAGACGGAATGCATGGTTATCAGCAAAAGGATGAGCCCAAAATGCAAGTTAAAAGTAAAGGGTACTAAAATCAAGCAGGTACAGAAATTTAAAAATCTGGGAAATGTTCTAACAGAGGATGAAAAGTGTGACACCAAGATCCTAAGATGTATCAGGATAGCCAAAAATGCCTTCCAAAAGCTAAGTAAGGTATTAAGAGACAGAAAAATTTCATTAGAAACAAAGAAAAGAATACTGAACTGTTATGAGATACCTGCCCTCTTGTATGGCAGTGAATAAAGAAGACTTGAAGCAACAGAAATGTGGTTCTACAGAAAGATGTTGAGGATACCATGGGTCGAACATGTGAACAACAAAGTTTTGGAATGAATGGAAACAAAAAGAAAACTTATATTTAACATCAGGAAGAAGCAGTTGAAATTTCTGAGGCATTTAATGAGGAAGGAGGGCTTGGAAAACCTGATACTCACAGGACAGATTGAGAGAAAGAGGGACAGAGGAAAGCAGCATGTAATATACTTGAGTAAATGGATGGTTTGCGAGAAATATCAAAAAGGTAAAACTTATTAAGAGCTACAAGGGACAGGAAGATGTGGAGGGCCATCATTGCCTACGTCCTGAAGAGACACAGCACATAAAAGAAGATAAATGAAACTTCATTGTGAAGCATAAGATGAACAAAAATGCATGAATAAAAATATTTTGTCACAGTCTCATTGTAGAATATTAAAAAATATTTTCAAAGGTCCGTGTTATGGATTTACTCCCCCTATAAAGGACAATAACTCAAAATACATTGAGTTACTGCCCTTGTCCTCTAGGAGCAATGTGGTACTATTGAATTCAATATGGTGAAAAACTGACACGCACGTGGAATTCAAGGTTTTCAATCCAAACAAATCCTTGTTGCTCTCAGGCAGTAAATGAATAAAAGTTGTTTTATTGTGTGTTAAAATACACTTATTTTCCTTCTTTTTTTATTTATCTCAACAACCTGTGATATAAGTTATATAATTTAATCAATTTTTATACAGTGTAACCCGGATATAAGAGAAACCCGGATATAAGAGAGATTTTCTCTAGTCCCAAATTAGAGCCCATACTTACCTAAACAAAATAGACCAAACCCGAATATAAGAGAAACCCGGATATAAGAGACTGTATGTCTTAAATTTTAATTTTTAATATATCTTTTTTTTTCCAGTAATATTCATGATCCATGTGAAACCAACTCTGAACAGGATGTTTCCCTGATTAATACAATCTTAACCTGTAATCTCCAACTCCTATACACACAAATGGCCTCCTAACATAACCCTCTACCTTAAGTGGCCCCGGGCCTTGTAAAGGGTGAACTTTACTGTAACAAAAAAAATAAAAATAAAATAAATAAATATAAAGAATAAGAATTTTAAATTCATGATAAAAAATGTAACATTATCAGTAATCCCTTGCATCTTAGTGGCTTTATTGTCATGGTTGGCATGAAATGATTAAAAAAAAAAAAAAAATAAAAATAAAAAATAAAAAAAAAAAAATTACATCAATTTTTAAAATCAATTTCATTTTCTAAAACTCCATTTGAAATAAAACGTTCTAAGCCTATATATAAAATTCCCAAAGAATTGAACAAAAACAAATTGCACAAGAAATTATTACCTGCAGATATGTTTCATTCTGTGTGTTTTTTTCCTGAGCAGATACATAATATAGAGGAGAGATGCGGCTGCCACAATTCCTTGGTATTGGTCACCTGTCAAATGAGCAATAACAATCATAATTGTGTAAACAAAACCTGGTTGTAGGAGTTGAAAGCACCAAATGAAATATGGACTGCTCGGCTTTTGGTTGGGATTCTTCTGAGCCAGGTAGGACAAGAATGGAATTAGCTCATGATGTCTGAAAAAGAAAAAAGAAAAAAAAAAATGTAAAAATTTGCATTAATATTTTCTATCTTTTTAGGTTGGTTGGTTGTTTCTGTTTAATGGCATATCAAACATTTGCAGATTATTTAATACCGAAATCTAAATATTTTGTACACAATTTTATTTTATTTTGGGGGGGAAATAATAATAATGCTTTAGTGATACAAGTCTTACTAATTAACCCATAACTGGTGGAGAAGAGGTGGATTCATGCCTTTACAAGGGTATTTGTGCATAAGTGAATATAACAAACCCAAATGGAAAGTTTTCCGATTAACAATTCCGAGCCATTAGACATTACACCACCCACATATCCAATCTTTTTAAGTATTTTTGTTTAGAAAGTAAAGCATTACTATTTTCTACTTTAGTTTATTTATTTTCCACTTAAGTTTTTTTTGTTATTTGAGAGAGTAGTTTTAATAAAATATCAACTCCTTTTGGCTTATTTAATGTTAGAATCTATTTTATTTATTATTATACTAGAGTAGGTACCTCCACTTTGAAAAAAGATGAAAAAAAAAAAAAAAAGATGAAAACAAAAAGATGAAAACAAAAAGATGAAAACAAAAAGATGAAAACAAAAAGATGAAAACAAAAAGATGAAAACAAAAAGATGAAAACAAAAAGATGAAAACAAAAAGATGAAAACAAAAGATGAAAACAAAAAAGATGAAAACAAAAAAGATGAAAACAAAAAAGATGAAAAACAAAAAGATGAAAAAAAAAGATGAAAACAAAAGATGAAAACAAAAAGATGAAAACAAAAAGATGAAAACAAAAGATGAAAACAAAAGATGAAAACAAAAGATGAAAACAAAAAGATGAAAACAAAAAGATGAAAACAAAAAGATGAAAACAAAAAGATGAAAACAAAAAGATGAAAACAAAAAGATGAAAACAAAAAGATGAAAACAAAAAGATGAAAACAAAAAGATGAAAACAAAAAGATGAAAACAAAAAGATGAAAACAAAAAGATGAAAACAAAAAGATGAAAACAAAAAGATGAAAACAAAAACAAACAAAAAAACAGCATAGCATAATGAAAAAAGGCACCAAACTTCACAAAAACAAAGTTTTATAATCAAAATGTTTGTTATTAAGAGGAAAGACTAAAGTATATTTTCAATATTTTATTAACACTTTTAATCCTTTCTAGAACATTAAAAATTTTTGTTAAAAATCTTGTTTTTTTTCCCCATCAGGGGTCGATGTATTGTAATATTTACGACTAGTGTTTCTGTGCTTCTTTTGCCAGTGAAAAACATTGATTTGGAAATTCTTGCAAAAATCAATTAATTTTCGGAGTTTAATGAAACTTTCAGGATTTATTCACAAATAAACAAAATTATTTTTGAAATTTTTTTTTTTTAGAAAATCTTGGTAAAAATATTCTTTTTTAACATATGTTAACCTCCATTTATTTAATTTCTTGGAATTTTGAGAAATTAAATTTTCATCAGAAAATTTTTTTTATTAGTTAAAAGCAGGACTCCTTAGAAATTGTAAATGAACATATTTTTTTTTAAACTACTACTCATTTCCCAAAAATCTGCTCGAAGTCGTAAAATAAAAAATGCAAATAAATCTATAACATTAATTAGAAAAGTTTTTAATTGCTTTTATTAAGGACACTATTATCTTAAGAAAAAAAAGTTTTTTTTGATGAATAATGAAATTTACAAGAATTGTTTTCATTTTTTTTTTTTTAATTTTAATTACAATCATTTATAATATATAGATTTATATTCTTAAAAAATATTTTTATTGACAAACAAAATATAGCTATTCTGGTTTATTTAAAAATAAAATTGCAATAAGTTTACTTCAAGCTATGAAAATGTTGCTAAATTATGTCATGTTAAAAAATATTTATGCCATATGTGTGTGTGAGTTAGAGGGTTGCTCTGTCTAAGGGAGGGGCACATAATTTCATTAGCCTTGAGGCTCCAAATTGTTATAATCTGGCACTGTTTTGGTTTAATGAGAGGTCCCTGGCTGCAAAAAAATTGTTGTTCAGTTAAAATACATTTTTTAATTAAAGAAAGAAAAAGGCAAAATTCTTCCAATATTTCATATTTTCTTAATTGACCTCCCAGAAATAAAATAAAAAAAAACAATTACACACAAGTTCTTTCTTTCTCTTCCTATAGTTCTGAGATGAAGTATTGCAACTATTTACATAATTTGGACTGCTGTCCTCATCTTTACTACTATTTTCATGTTTCATTTGTTGTAAACTCTGGCCTTTTTCATGTGATATATAATGAAATTTGGGACCAAAAAAGTTAGGTTTGAAATGCCAATGAAATTCAAAAGCCTATTTATCATGCCACAACTAGATTAAAGAAATTAATCTTAAAAGAAAAGAAATTTCTCAAATTGGTAGAAAATCTGAAAGAAGTTCATCGCTTACTGTAATTCTACAAATTACTTACCCAGGCTTTGGCTTGGTGCTTTGTTGAGCTAAATCCAATGGGGTGTGATTGTGTTTATTTCGAATGTGTAGCAAGCTGCAATCACCTGCATTTAACAATAGCCAACAGATGTGACTGAAGCCCTCCTTGGCCGCTATGTGCAAAACTGTGTTGCCATCAACATCTTTAAGAAACACATCAGTGCGCTGAAAAGACAAAAATAACATTACTGTAAAAATTTTTAAATTTGAAAAAAGCACTGAGTGTGTTTAAAATTAAAATTTTGTTTTTCAGAACATGTCCTCTTGCAAACTGTTTTTTTTCTTCAATCTTATTGGAAGAGTTTCTCAAGTGAGAAGTGCAACAGAAGAAACTGTTAAAATAGAACTTACAGTTACATCGAGCCATTTCTAATGTAAAATGATAGATTAATATTAAATAAATGTTAAATTACTTTTCTTTTAATGAAAACTGCATTAGAGGTTTCAGAAAATATTCTCTTTCCAAATTATTTTTGGACAATTTAATCTTTTGTCTTCCCATTCAGACCAGCAATGCTTATCTTTGAACCTAGTCAGTGCCTAGATGGGTGACAACTTGAAAATACCACATACTGTAAGCTTGGATGTGCAGGTGGTGTAATGGAGAACAGCTGGCAATCAGAAATTGTAGAGCCAAGTTCCAATTCCAGTTGGATTCATTATATTCACTTATGCACAAATACTCTTGGGAAAGATATGAATTCACCTTTTCTCCCCAAGCTATGGGTTAAATAGTAGGACGCGTACCAGTAAATCATTATTATCCCCCAAAAATTCCTAAAATCAAAAAATATTTCTGCTTTTAAATAACATGCAGAAGGTTGATAAGCCATAAAAAATAAATCAATCATGTTCATTTTAATTGTTACACATAATGTTTCAGCTATTGTATCATCCGGCTTTTTTCAGGTGTTCGTCATTATGCTTGGTTAATTTATTGGAATTTCAAAATACAGGCATACCTCACCTTATGTCAGTAATTTTTTCCAAAAGAGGTGACAAAGTCAAAAAATGACTTAAGTTGAATTTACTTGTCTTCGAATTTACTTGTCACTAGGCTAAACGACAAATAACCGTTCCCTGTTCTGTATTTTATTTATAAATGCATTTTTAATAATGGTCAAATAAGAATCCATTTTAAGCTTACAAACAAATAAATTTTAGTTTTTAATATAGTACTGAAAAAAAGTAATCAAAATTTACGAATACATGTATGTACATAATTGTAAATGTAAATGTTTACAATTTGGTGATCTTTACAGTACATCACGGACTCTTTATTTGTGAATGTGCTTTGCTCTAAGACATTATAAAATAAAAGGATTTTTATTTTTCCAAATATTTTTTGACAAACAACGTATAATTGAGAATGATTTAACTTGAAACGATGTAACCCGAGGTACACCTATAAACTCTTTATTCAATCCCTGGGAGTAAATTATTCTCATTACACTTTCCGTGCTTAGGGGAGATAACTCATATCAGTTAATACCCACCAGTCTTATTCACCTTTGTGTTGCTTGTTCATTTCTTCCTATCAACCAGAGAATGAGACTTAACACTGCCATTCACAGGGATTGAACTAACAACTGCCAGTATAAAAACCAAGATGAACATGTTGGTGTCTTTCTGGTTTCCATGCTTAGGGGAGATAACTCATATCAGTTAATACCCACCAGTCTCATTCACCTTTCTGCAACTATTCTGTCCTCCCCCTCCCGCTACTGAACCAGCACTACCAGACCCAAGGATTAAACTCAGAACTGTTGGGGGACCAGATATTTAGTACCAAAAAACTCACATGCTCTGGTAGCCTTAAAAAATTTATAGATCTTATAACCATATTACTTTAGCCATCAAGCTTTACTTGATCTTATCTTACTTATTATAAAACGCAGATTGTGTGTGTGTGTGTGTGTCTGTACGTTTATATATTGGATCGGATTTCCTACATTTTTCAACCAATTTCAACAAAACTTCACAGGACTGCGTAAAATTACCTTGCAATGGTTCTGACAGCACCAAAAATTGGAAAAAGACAATTGTTTTTGTATGAAATCAATTTGAAAACACGATAAAACACGATTCTGTCGCCAGAATGAAAGAGGGACAACACATATCGAGTTATACTTATTATAAAACCCAGGTTGTTTGTGTGTGTGTGTGTGTGTGTGTGTGTGTGTGTTCCTTTATATATGGGATCGGATTTCCTACATTTTTCAACCGATTTCAACAAAACTTCACTTTTTTTTGGCAGGTAGTGTTTCTTATTGTCTTGCACTTTTTATTTTATTTTTTACATTCAGAATGCTTTAAAATTCCATTTACAAGACAATTGTTTATAATAAAATTCTATTCAATCGATAGACTCATAACGATTGAAAACAATGTTTTTGTTTGAGTTTGGGTTTGACCAATTCATAAAAAAAAAACAAAAACTAAGACATGCGTGTCCATCAACCTTAAACAATAATCTTTGTCAATTTTATTTTACAGTCTTTATGATGGTTGATACTTGATCTATCTCTTACTGTTACATCTCCGGGCAATGCCGGGCTCTACTGCTAGTTATATATATATGAGGTTGGATGCTTTGCTTGGAAATTCTCTTCCAACTCATCACACAACTCATTTGGAATACCCATATCCAATTTCGTCATTAGAACTGAGGCTATACTGAGTGATATGTCTGTCACTGGTCTCGGACATCATTTCTAAATTAGACTTCCATAAGACAAATGGAGATGACGGGATACCAGTCATCGTCCTAAAGAAACGTGCTCCTGTGCTGGATCCTGTCCTCTCCAAACTCTACAACTATTGCCTTGCTGCTTTGCAGCTTGTTGGAAGTTCTCTGTCCTCCTCTGTAATCACTATTTTTAAAAACTCTGGAGAATCTGCTGAGACCTCTGACTATTGCCCAATTAGTATCCTACTGCTTTCTGGCAAAGTATTCAAGGCTTTAATCAATGCTGAAATAGTTAAGTATCTTACCTCTCACAACCTACTCTGACAAACAATATGGATTCCGTTCTGCCTGGTATACCACTGATGTGCTTACGGCCATCACTGAATATGTATATCAATCTCTTGATAATAATGGCAAAGCTTGAGCTGTGGCTCTAGATATCTCAAAGGCAGTTGACAGGTTTTGACATGCTTGTCTTCTATGTAAGCTTCAGGGCTATGGTATTACAAGATGATTGTTTGATTTAATCCAATCATTGCCATCAAATCATGAAATGAAGGTCATTCTGAACTGGCTTGCTTCCAGATCCTTTCACATGAATACAGTTGACCCGCAAGGCTCTATCCTGGGTCCTACACTATTTCTGATCTTCATCAATGATCTCCCTAATGTCATCAGTTCCCAACTAGGCATTTATGCAGATGACACAACTATTTACTCCTGTCTCAATAGCAAATCCATCAGAGCTGACAAAGTTAATGTGGCCACTGTTCTTGAAAAGGATCTCCAACCAGTGGTTAACTGGGGCAGGAAATGGCTTGTAAATTTTAATGTCTCCAAAACTAAACTGCTCTCATTTAACCACCCTAGAGAAACATCCCTGCCCACCATCAGTATGGCTGATGGTCGAATCCAGATCACCTCACTGCACCTTCTTGGACTCATTTTTTTCAATTGACTTAAAGTGAAACAATTACATTGAATCAATAGCTGCATCTACTGCAAGGAAAGTTGGTTCATTGTGTCATGCCACCTTCCACATTTATAAATCTATTATTCATCTGTGCATTAAATACTGTTGCCATATTTGGTCTGGTGCCCTTACTGTTCATCTTGAGGTTCTTGACAAAATCCAAAGAAGGATCTGCAATGTAATCACTCCTGACTTGGCATCTCAACTTCAGACACTTTCTCACAGACATGGGGTGACTTCCCTCTGTCCTTTCTACAAATATTTTCATGGCAATTGCTCTGACAAACTTTTTTCCCTGGTGCCCCAACTACGTGAATTTAAGCGTGTTACTAGATTGGCATCTAGGTCCCACCCTTTTACTGTTGAAATAGTTAAATGTAACCAACACTTCTACTCCAACAGTTTCTTTTTTCACACTTCCTGACAGGGAAACTCCCTTCTGTTTACTTGCTTCCCTGATAACTGCACTCATCAAAAATTTAAATGCAACATCAATCGCCATCTTCCATTGTCTTGAAACCTGTTCATCTTTTATCCTTTAATCAATCTCACCTATCCAGCAAGCTGTTGGAGAATGTTGAAAATTTATGGTGGAGTGAATTCACTCCACCAGAAATTTGGAAACGGCATGCTGTACTGCTTGGCATTCATGCCAGAAGAAAGAGTTGGATGAGTCTAATGGTGATTATGAAGATACTGCAGCTTGGAAAATTCACTCTGATCATTTTGATAAGAAAAGAATTCCCGAATTTGTTGGTGAGGGCTTCAGATTCAACATGTAGACCTATATCAAGTACCTTGGAGTAGTGCTTCCCAGGATCAAGAGGGCAGCTGCTGAAAGATCCTCTCTGGCAACAGGAATTTGCACCACCCTACACAAGCAGGAGAACTGAGTCATAGCCGTTAGACAATTTCTGCGACCCCATTACCCTTTACATCTGGCCACCTAACTCCCCAAACTGCAACCCCCTGTTATGTGTAGGGTACAATTGAGTGAGAGACTAACAAAACACCTTGTAACACCAAAGATGAACTGAAGGCAAGGATTATGGTAGCATTCTCCAACTTAAACAAGGAGATCATCCAGAAGAGTTGCAGGAGATTCTAAAGTCGTCTGGAGAACATGTCTGAAGCCAATGGCGATTTTATTGAACAAATTTACTCTTTAGTATTTTTGTGTCATTTTGGTAAATCTATCTGTTAAATTGAGATGTTAGTATTATTTTTATTCTTGCCTACTTTAGAAGAAAATTTATCCATCACATCCTGTATATATATATATATATATATATATCTATATTATTAGGAATGGATTTTTTATTTATTAATTGGAGATATTTGAATGTATTGCTTAAACATTAATTTTAATGGACACCCACATTTGAGTAGATGTCCTGTTTATTTTATTCTATTGACAAGTATATTTATTTATTTCCAACTACCAACCTGAATATTCAAGAAATCTTAAGCGTGCATTGTCCTGTCAGAGAATGCATGTTCTTACAGTTTTACTTTTCTGCAGACTAAGAGAGCTTAGAAAATAGATGTCATGATTATCCCCAAGCACTTTTAGTCAATTCATTAACCATTTTTAAGGGGTTCACTGTTAATGTATTTTCCTGTGTTTATATTCTGAGCTGTGTGATGTTTCCTATTTAAGAACGGGGAAAAAATTGTTGGCAGTCTTTTAAGCCACACTAAACATTTTTTTTTTTAATCAATTCACTCCAAGCAAGGAGATAATGCTACTCAGACGTAAAAGAGAATTAGAAGACTTTAGGAGAAAAGAATCAGAAACCAAATCCTTAACAGGAAACAAGAGATAAACTTCTACGACTGTTCAAAAGCCTGTGGAGGAGTGTGAATTACTATTACTCCCATCCAAGATTAGAAAAACTTTAAAAAAAAATTTCTTGTCCACATTTAATGAAACATTTCTAAAAAAAAGACTGCAGCCCATATATATATATATATATATATATATATATATATATATATATATATATATATATGATTCTCATGTCAAATGAATATTCAGCAAAAATTGAATAAAAAAGTATTTCTGGAAGATAAGAGTTTTAAGGCAGTCTTTGTAATTATAGTGCTTAATATCAAGAGAGAATGCAAGAGCAAAATAATAAATGAAAAGTTTGCATATCTGTACTCTGAATCAAATCCGCTCATCAGGATAATTAACTGTAATATCTTACAATATATATATATATATATATATATATATTTTTTAGAGAGCGAGAGAATTAATTTTTAAAAAATCGGAGACTTCAAAAAGCCATTTGTTAAATAATTATTACTTGCTCTGTTTATTACATTGACCTCTTGGGATTTATATGCTCCATGGAATTATCCACACAATTAATTATATATATTAACATATAGAAATAATATATATATATATATATATATATGAAACACATACAAATATATATATATATATATATATATATATATATATATATATATATATATATATGAACACACATATATAAAATATATATATATATATATATATATATATATATATATATATACATATATAGAAAATATATATATATATATATATATATGAACACATATAGAAATATATATATATATATATATATATGAACACACATATAGAAATATATATATATATATATGAACACACATATATGAACACACATAGAATATATATATATATATATATGAAACACATATATAAATATATATATATATATATATGATGAACACACATATAGAAATATAATATATATATATATATATGAACACACATATACATAGAAATATAATATATATATATATGAACACACATATAGAAATATATATATATATATGAACACACATATAGAAATATATATATATATATATGAACACACATATAGAAAAATATATATATATATGAATACACATATAGAAATATATATATATATATATGAACACACATATAGAAATATATATATATATATGAACACACATATAGAAATATATATATATATATATATATATATATATATATATATATATGAACACACATATAGAAATATATATATATATATATATATATATATATATATATATATATATATATATTTAAAAAACAGAGGTAGGACAGAATATTGAAAACAAACAAACCTGATGTTTTGTGAGGTATTTTAAGGCTTCCAAGTGACCCATTTCACACACAATATGGAGTGGAGTCTGCAAATTGTTATCCATTTGTTGCAGGCTTAGTCCATACAAACTCGTCAGGTAATGAAGGACACAGCTGTATGCAAAAGGAGTATAATTCTTCAATTATAAATCATTCATTTGACATTGTAAAGATGCAGAAAAAGACTTTACTAGTATTATTAATATAAATAGTTGATTATGTAATTCCTGATATTACAGGTAGGATTTATTAAGTAAATTCACTGAAACTGTCATTCACTGTAATAATTAGGCATATAGTAATAAAGCAAATATGAAAAGAATGTACAGAATTCATTAGAAATTATTTCAAGAGTAGATGTTCCTGTCTATAATATCATAGGTAGGATTCACATACATACATAGGAAATATTAAAAGCATATAAAGAAATTCATTACAACTGGGTTTAGTACCCTTTGTAAATTATTTTACTATAAGAGAGATTGCAACTATTATAGAAATCCATTATAAATGATTTTTGTTATAGAAATTTCAATTCTAGTCATTTTATTATAGTTCCTCATAAATTACTTTTACTATAGAAATGTATTTTAAATGACTTTATAAAAATTAACTATAAATTATTTTTATTATAGGAATGAATTGCAAATTATTTCAATACTATCTATTCCTAAAACCTGTAATATCATAGGATAAAATTTATTAATCAAATACATCAATATTTTGATTCACATGCATTAAATATAGTGTTATACAGCAAATACTAAAAACATACAGAAATTCTTAACAATTATAGAAATCCATCATTCATATATATATATTATATATATATATATAATTTTTACTATAGAATTGCTTGTAAATTATTTTATTATAGAAGGTCATTTTTTTTTTTTTTTTTTTTTACTAGAGAAATTCCTAGGAAGTGTTTTTACTACAAAATTCATCATAAATTATTTTTACTATAGTAATACAAAGCAAGTTATTTTATTATAGAAATGTATTATAAATTATTTTTACTATAGAATTGCATCACAAATTTTAATACTATCTGTTCCTGAAACCTTTAATATCACAGGAAAGATTTTCTTAAATAAATAGATCAAAACTTCAATTCATATCCATGATTAGATGTGGCATGATACAGTAAATATTAAAAAGCAAATATAAAAATTTAATGACAAATTGGGAAAAAAATTTTGTGGAACTCATTTTGTCCTTTATTGGACTAAAGTGATGTTGTCATTGATATAACTACACATGAACCTGAAGAGGAGGGGAGACTGAAATTTGAAACATTTAAATTATTTTTTTAAATATTTGTAGATATGTTTGAATATAGAGTGTAGACAATTTTACTTAGTTTCTTTTTATTTATATTTCCATTATTTTTGTTATTAAGTCTCCCACATTTTGATAATAGAAGATCTGCCAAGAATGGTGAAATGTTTTAAGAAACTGGACGCAAATTTACTGTTGATGATCTTGCAATTAAAGCACTTTCTATACACTTGTCTTAGTAAATTACTTTCTCTATAGCATTTTCTCCCATAAAAACTTAACTGATGCAAACTTTCTAGGGTACATTTAGCAAGCAATTAGTAATAACATAATATTCTATGTGTATTTGTATATTTTTGGTTGGGCTGGTTTTTGTTGAGTTTGTTTAGCAGCATATCAACACCTCTATGGGTTATTTAATGCTGAAATCTAAATATTTTGAGCACAATTGCATGTCTCCAACTACAGATAAGCTGTATTGTTGGTAATTTTACTATAAATATGTATTGACGGTAATTTTACTATAAATATGCATTGTTGGTAATTTTGCTATAAATATGTACTGACGATAATTTTACTATAAATATGTATTGACAGTAATTTTACTATAAATATGTACTGACGGTAATTTTGCTATAAATATGTATTGTTGGTAATTTTACTATAAATATGTACTGACGATAAATTTTTGAAATTTTTTGCTTGAGGATGAAACAGAGATTAATACTTTAATTCAATTTAATTTTAATAACTATATTGAAGTTTTTGGCCCCTGTTTTTGAAACATGAGAATTTTATGTAGCGAAGGAATCGAATTTTTAAAAAAAATTATTATATATATATATATATATATATATATATATATATATATATATATATATATATATATATATGCAGTATATCTTCATTCAAGCATGTGTGATTGAGCAATCAAGTAATCCTCTTATATTTGCATATGAATTTCTTAGTGCCAGTATATAACTGATGGAAAAAGACAGCGTGGGATTTTGTACATTTTTTATTTTCCCAAGTACTTTCAATCTCATCTAAGATCATCTTCAGGTGGGAATGACTAAAACAGAGAATTTATTAATTAAAATTTTAATTAATTCTTAGTTTTAGCAATTCACCACAAATAAAAGAGGATTAAAATAAAAATAGACATAATATGTTTAGATTGTTCAATCAAACATGCTTGAATATATATAAGTGTACATTGAAGTCAACACCTAGAGTCAATAGTCTGCTTCATGCTAAATGCAATTGCCTGGCCATTATATATATATATATATATATAATCAGTATGAATAGAAGTTTGCCCCTGAGCTGATTGATGCTACCTTAAGCATCTTGATCCCAGACATTCATAGGCAGACTTGGCCATAAAAAAAAATCATTTTTTTTTTTTTTGCAATCAACACCATCACTTGATAAGGCACCAGTTGTTGAAACAAAATTGCAATTTTTGTAGTGATGTTATAACATGCATATGTTATAAATTTGAATAAATATTATTTGCTCAACTCGGTATTGAGAATAGTGTTTTTAGTTATTGTAATTTTATTCCATCTGTACCAACGATGTACTTGGTTTATATATATATATATATATATATATAAAGAAAAATATACAGAAAAAACAAAAATCCTCCATCGTCTTTTCATGTTGAATTAAATATAGTCTAATGTTAATTATGTTTTATGAATATGTCCTGAAGGCGGTCTACTAGACCAAAACGTCTGACGTTGACATTATATTAACATTAAAACAGCATAATTGCATATTAGGATTTTTGTTTGTTTTTCCCGTATATTTTTCTTCATACTGTCAGATCTATATCTATATATTTGCTTACATATGTGTGTGTGTGTGTGTGTGTGTGTGTGTGTGTACACAAAGAAAGCTGAAAAATAAATAAACAAAACAAAAGATGTCATCTAAGAAATGAGCAGACATCAGGGCATGCTTGAACCATATCTCCAATGCAAAAGCGAGTTACTTTCTGACTGCTCCTCAAGAGCAAAACAATATTTTAAAGTACACTATTTATGTGCTTACAAAATCTACACTCTCCGCACATATCCAGTAGGAAGTAAGAGCCACTTGTGTTGAAAAATAAAGAACAGTTTTGTTGCTAGCAGCAACCAAGCCACAATTTTTTTTCTGTGGTGATGAACAGAACGAACAAAAACAACTGTAGAAAGCTGAGGATTTTCCAGAAAGCATCTCCATCCACCTCCGTTTTTATTAGCTATTTGTCTTTTGAGGCAACCATTATTGGTGATATCTACTTGAGTTGTGCTTTGCCAACACTGAAGCAGTGTGGACATGTTTTGTGGCTCATCCAATTACCTAACATTCATAACAACAACCCTTGACCTTTCTGTTATGGCAATAGATGAAAGGTTAAGTGGATTCAGAAGATACAATGGAATTTTGCAGATGTATCATCCTTGTTGGAAGAGAATGACAATCAAAAGGTGAACAGAGAAATGGAAAGAGGGGAACGCGTGAAGAGAGAAGTGAGAAAGAGAAGAGGAGAATGCATGAAAAGAAAAGCGGAAGAGAGTAGTTACGAAGGGAGAAGAGGAGAACAGGTAAAGAGAGCAGAAGGGAAAGAGGAGAACGGGTAAAGAGAGAAGAAGGGAAAGAGGAAAACGGGTAAAGAGAGAAGAGGGGAAGAGGAGAACGGGTAAAGAGAGAAGAGGGGAAGAGGAGAACGGGTAAAGAGAGAAGAGGGGAAGAGGAGAACGGGTAAAGAGAGAAGAGGGGAAGAGGAGAACGGGTAAAGAGAGAAGGGGTAAAGAAAGACAGGGTTATATAGAGAAAGAGTAAAGAGAGAAGAGGGGATAAAGAGGAGAAGATGGAAAGAGGAGAAGCAGGGAAAGAGAGAAGGGGGGAGAGAGAAAGGGGGAAGAGAGAAGAGGGAAAGAGGAGAATGGGTAAAGAGAGAAGAGGGGAAAGAGGAGAATGGGTAAAGAGAGAAGAGGGGGAAAGAGGAGAATGGGTAAAGAGAGAAGAGGGGAAAGAGGAGAATGGGTAAAGAGAGAAGAGGGGAAAGAGGAGAATGGGTAAAGAGAGAAGAGGGGAAAGAGGAGAATGGGTAAAGAGAGAAGAGGGGAAAGAGGAGAATGGGTAAAGAGAGAAGAGGGAAAGAGAGAATGGGTAAAGGAGAAGAGGGGAAAAGGAGGGGAAGAGAGAAGGGGGGGAATGGGTAAAGAGAAAAGGGTGGGTAAAGAGAGAAGAGGGGAAAGAGGAGAAGATGGAAAGAGAGAAGGGGGGGAGAGAGAAGGGGAGAGAGAAGAGGGAAAGAGGAGAATGGGTAAAGAGAGAAGAGGGGAAAGAGGAGAATGGGTAAAGAGAGAAGAGGGGAAAGAGGAGAATGGGTAAAGAGAGAAGAGGGGAAGAGGAAATAAAAAGAGAGAAGAGGGGAAAAGGAGAACGGTAAAGAGAAAAGGGGTAAAGAAACACGGGGTTATATAGAGAAAGAGTAAAGAGAGAAGAGGGGAAAGAGGAGAATGGGTAAAGAGAGAAGAGGGGAAAGAGGAGAATGGGTAAAGAGAGAAGAGGGGAAGGAGGAGAATGGGTAAAGAGAGAAGAGGGGAAAGAGGAGAATGGGTAAAGAGAAAAGGGGTAAAGAAAGACGGGGTTATATAGAGAAAGAGTAAAGAGAGAAGAGGGGATAAAGAGGAGAAGATGGAAAGAGGAGAAGCAGGGAAAGAGAGAAGGGGGGAGAGAGAAGGGGTAAGAGAGAAGAGGGGAAAGAGGAGAATGGGTAAAGAGAGAAGAGGGAAAAGAGGAGAATGGGTAAAGAGAGAAGAGGGGAAAGAGGAGAATGGGTAAAAGAGAGAGAAAGAGGGGAAAGAGAAGAGGGAAAGAGGAGAAAAAGAGAAAAGGGGTAAAGAAAAGACGGGGTTATATAGAGAAAGAGTAAAGAGAGAAGAGGGGATAAAGAGGAGAAGATGGAAAGGGAGAAGAGGGAAAGAGAGAAGGGGAGAGAGAAGGGGTAAAGAGAAGAGGGAAAAAGGAGAATGGGTAAAGAGAGAAGAGGGGGAAAGAGGAGAATAAAAAGAGAGAAGAGGGGAAAGAGGAGAATGGTAAAGAGAGAAGATAAAGAGGAGAACGGGAAAAGAGAAAAGGGGTAAAGAAACACGGGGATAGAGAAAGAGTAAAGAGAGAAGAGGGGAAAAGAGAATGGGTAAAGAGAAAAGGAAAAAGACGGGTTAGGTAGAGAAAGAGTAAAGAGAGAAGAGGGATAAAGAGGAGAAGAGGAGATAAAGAGGAGAAGAGGAGAAGCAGGGAAAGAGAGAAGGGGGGAAGAGAGGAGAAGACAGGAAACAGCGTAAAGGGGAGAAGAGGGGAACGGGAAACAGCGTAAAGGGGAGAAGAGGGGAACGGGAAACAGCGTAAAGGGGAGAAGAGGGGAACGGGAAGGCGTAAAGGGAAGAAGAGGGGAACGAAGAGAACACATAGAGAAGAGGAGAATGGTTTAAGAGAGAAAGCCGGAAAAAGAAGAGAGACAGACAAGACCACAGAGAAAAAGAGAAAAATAGATCAAAGTAGAGACATATAAATAATAAGTGATATTAAGACATGAATTTATTGTGTATAAAGACACGAGAGAAGCCTATTTCTTTCTGCTTTAATAAATACATCTCAAACAAGAGTATACTTTTTTAAGCATTTACAAATTGTCACATTCCCATAAGAGAAAAAAAGTGTTATATAAAGTGAATCGGAAAATAAGGGAGATGTTAAAAGGAAAAGGAATGAGTAAGGACAGTATAAAGTGTGGGGGTGGATAAATTGAGAGAAGATGAAAAACTTGGAAATAGAATGAAAAGGGAGGAAGAAAATGACAGATATAAAGTGAGAAATAGAGTCAGAAAGATTTGCAGCCTGAAGAGCGGGCAATGAAAAGAGGAAAAGGAAAATAAAAAGAATAAAAAAGCAGAAAATGGAGGAAACAAAGCAGATACCAAGTCATTTTATATTACAACACCTGCGTATCTGAGAGTGAGAGTCAGAAGTGAGAGAGGTGGAAGAGAGAGGTGTCAGATGCAAAGTGAAAAGAGAGAAGTGGCAGAGGGAGAAAGAGAGAGAAAAAAAGCGGGAGGCGGCAGGGATAGAGAGAAAAAAAGCGGGAGGCGGCAGGGATAGAGAGAAAAAAAGCGGGAGGCGGCAGGGATAGAGAGAAAAAAAGCGGGAGGGGATAGGGATAGAGAAAAAAAGCGGGAGGCGGCAGGGATAGAGAGAAAAAAAGCGGGAGGCGGCAGGGATAGAGAGAAAAAAAAGCGGAGGAAAGGGATAGAGAAAAAAAGGGAGGCGGCAGGATAGAGAGAAAAAGGGAGGCAGGGATAGGAGGGATAGAGAAAAAAAAGGGAGGCAGGATATAGAGAGAGAAAAAGCGGGAGGTGGTAGGGAGAGAGAAAAAAGGGAGGCGGCAGGGATAGAAAAAAAAAAAAAAGGGGGGATGGATAGGAGAAAAAAAGGAGGCGGCAGGATAGAGAGATAAAAGGGAAAAAAGGGATAGAGAGAAAAAGGGAGGCGGCAGGGAAAGAAAAAAGGGAGGCGGTAGGGATGGAGAGAAAAGGGAGCAGGGATAGAGAGAAAAAAGGGAGGCGGTAGGGATAGAGAGAAAAAGCGGGGAGGTAGGGATAGAGAGAAAAGGGACAGGGACAGAGAGAAAAAAGGGAGGCGTAGGGACAGAGAGAAAAAGCGGGAGGCGGTAGGGACAGAGAGGCGGAAAGGGGATAGGGACAGAGAGAGCGGAAAGGGAGGCGGCAGGGACAGAGAGAGCGGAAAGGGAGGGCAGGGACAGAGAGAGCGGAAAGGGAGGCGGTAGGGAGAGAGAGGAAAGGGAGGCGGGTAGAGATAGAGAGAGCGGAAAGCGGGAGGCGGCAGAGATAGAGAGAGATGAAAGGGAGGAGAGACAGAGAAAGAGTGAAAAGAGAGAGGCGGCAGAGACAGAGAAAGAGTGGAAAGAGAGAGGTAGCAGAGAGAGAGAAAGAGTGAAAAGAGAGAGGTAGCAGAGACAGAGAAAGAGTGAAAAGAGAGAGGCAGCAGAGACAGAGAAAGAGTGAAAAGGGAAAGGTAGCAGAGACAGAGAAAGAGTGAAAAGAGAGAGGTGGCGGTAAGAGTGAGATAGAGAGGTGGCCGAGACAGAAAGAGGATCAGTCAGAGTGAAAAAGAGTGATGTTTTTTTATACAGTAGGTTACTGAAGAAACTAAAAATATAAAAAAGGAGAGACAGAAAAAAACAAAGTAAAAAAACTGAATGAAATGACACTAATTAGTTTTGAATAGTTGAATGTCTGACTCAGACATTCTGTGCAGACAAAATGGGACAATGGAGACTAATCAGTAAAAGAATAAAAATTGGTTTCTCATGAGTGAGAGAGCGAAAGCAAGAGGTGAAAGAGAGTGAAAAAAGTGAGGTGTCAGAGATAGCATGAAAAAGAGAGGAGAGAGGGAGCGAAAAGTAAGGGGTGGCAGAGACAGAGAGCGAAAAGTAGGGGGTGGCAGAGACAGAGAGCGAAAAGTAGGGGGTGGCAGAGACAGAGAGCGAAAAAGAAGTGAGGTGTCAGAGAAAGAGAGCAAAAAAGAAGTGAGGTGGCAGAGAAAGAGAGAGCGAAAAAAGACGGGTGGGTGGCAGAGACAGTGAAAAATAGTGAGGTGGCTGAGAGAGAGAGAGAGCAAAAAAGTGAGGTGGCAGTCATTTATTTGGGTATACCATAAAATGGAATTAGTGAAATGGTGATAGGTGATGCGCTCATTTCCAAACAGCCTTTAACCTCCTTTTCTTTCCATTGTTCCTTTAATCCTGACATGTGAGTGAATTTGCCTCGGTGCTTAGGCACCTCACTCAGCCTTCTACAAAAGTCAGTTGAGTTTGACACTCATGAGATCAATACAACCAACCCCAAGCCTTTCTCTTCAGTCCTACTTTTTATTAACGATCTACCTATGAACAATCTCAGGTCTCTAGTGGACATCAATGGAAATGAAACAACTGTTGATGGAAGTACTTCCAAAAACCAAGACAATCCAAGCTGTGAAGCAGATCACTCTTCTGACCAAGCTCTGACAGCTCAATGGGGAAATAACTGCTTTGTTACTACCAAGACCTCAAAAACCAAATAAGTATCATTTCATCGCCACTATCTGGTTAGAATGAACAGTTCTACTTTCAGTCACGCACTATGTTTTGGACATATATTGAATCCTAAGTTTACTCTAGACCCAAACTGGAATGCATACATACAATCCAATACTAAAGAAGCTGGGAAAATGGTTGACTCACTATATCCAGGAAGTATCTGATGCCTATACTTACTTTCTAGACTTGATAAAGTTCTTTATACAGCCTTTGAAAAGATTTATTTTTTTCCACTTTTTTCTGCAGACATAATGAGATTTATATTTTATATATATATATATATATATATATATATATATATATATAGATAGATAGATAGATACACCTAGTGAGCCAGACAAACCTACCTAGGTTTCACCTAAACGGATCGTCAGGGAAAGTTTTGTGATTGATTTGATTAGCAAATCAAAAATTCGAGGGTTTTTCTAAACCAGTCTAGTTATCTATATTTATATTTATATATATATATATATATATATATATATATACGATATAAGCCGGGATATTAAAACAAAAACATGTTAAAAATCACTGCAATTATGTTTCAACACTACGAATGTGTCATTTTGGGCGATATACTACTGGTGAGTAAACAATTAATTTACCTAATTTCACTTGCCAGTAGTTTAACATCGTCTGAGGAGACACATTTGTAGTGTTCAAACGTAATTGTGTAGTGATTCTTAACATGTTTTTGTTTTACTATCCTAAAATAAATAATATTTAGCTCTACTCTGTATTGAGCCCTCTTTAAAATTAAATGTTACATACAGTGGAATTATATTTGTTCTGATTTTACGTGGATATTGTAAGTTAAAAGACAACAGAAGAACAAATGACAATATAAGGAAAGTGCTTTTCAAACTCTTCAGAAGCCTTGACTTTGAAATAGAAGTCAATATGAGTAAAATAAAATCATCAAATATTTGGATGTAGAATGAAATCTACAAACTGGCAGTGTTTCTCCATACATGAAACCCAACACAAAATTAAAATACTTGAATGTTAGATCTAACCACCCTGTGAGTATAATAAAGCAAATCCCCAAACGTACAGAGTCCAGGTTATCTAGAAATTCCTCTAGTAAAATAGTTTTCAAAGATAAAAAGAATATGAAAAGACTTGAAAAGAAGAGGGGAATAAAACCAAATTGGAATTTAAAACTCAAATAAAACAGCAAATTAAAAACAGTTTGAGGAAAAGAAAAAAATATTATTTGGTTTAACCCCAGGTCAAGTATAAAATAGGGAAAATATTTTTCAAATTACTTAATAAAAACTTCCAAAAATTCTGAATTATATGAAATATTTAATAAAAACAGTTAAATTAAGCTATGGTTGTTCTAGTAATTTAAAAACAACAATAAAAAGACAAAACTCCAGAAATTTCAAAACTAACGTGCAGCAAAATATTGTTAACAGTAATATATGCAATTGTAGAAATAAAAGCAGATGTTAATTAAATGGAGTTTGCAAAACTGAAGCAGTAATTTACAAAGCAGAAGTAATAGATACAAATGACCAGTAAAAAATATACATAGGGTGTACTGAGGGTAACTTTAAAAAAAAGTGGTACAATAATAAGTCATCGTTTAAGCTAGAAAGCCTCAGAAATTCTACTAAACTAGCCAATCATGTGTGGAAATTAAAGAAAATTAAAAAAGATCTGATTGTAAACTGGAAAATATTAAAAGAAGCTAATCCTTATTACAATCATAGCAAGATCTGCAACATTTGCCAACAAGAGAAATTAGCTATAACAACATTTCCAGACCAAAAAAAACAAACTTTTAAACCAGAGATCAGAAATTATGTCCTGTTGTATTCATACTAAAAAGCTCCTTTTGGGTTCATATGAAGTGGGATAAAAAGAATGTAGGTATATTTCATTTAATCTTCCACCAATATATTTCCAATACACTTGATTTCCCCTCCTCCTCCCTACCTTTTACCACACGTCATGTTGTGCAGTTATTTATTTTTAAATATGGCATTCATAAAATTTTATTTTTTAAAAAATAAAGTGTTAGGAAATCAATTTATCAAAATCACCTGAAGATACCAAAAGGTTGAAACCAAGGTAGCGGAATCGGCTGGTTTCCTAATTTTCTATACTTAAAAAAGCTCTACATGTTAAATTTTTATCTTTTTATATGTGTATTGAGCACTTTCTTAATACTACTGTTTCCTGGTCTAATTCAACTCTAACCATATATAAGGTGTACAATGTTGATCTTCTTGCAAAATGTAACATTGGTGGAACTGAGACTTTCATGATGCAGTCAGAACTTTGCTGAGCTGGCCTTATTGCAAGGATTAGTGACAAAAGAATAGCTAAGGTCCTCATGTATAGCCAGCTTCACAGTGGACAAAGACTCTTGGATGGCCATGACTCAGTTATAAAGAGAGGCTAAAGAGTAACCTCTCGGCTGTCAATGTCCCTCATACTAAATTTGATCAAGTTGCCCTGGATAGAAATAACTGTAGATATTTGTACCAGAATAGTATCAGATATTTTGAAATCTGTTGTATTGACTGGGTACAAGACTAAAGACAACAGTGAAAAGGCATCAAGAAATATTCTTGTGATCATCGCTGTTGCACAATATGTGAACTTGTATGCAGGTCACTAGCAGGAGTGAAGTGTCACCTATGACAACAACAACAAAAAAAGACAAAACAACTGAATGAGGTTGTTAGATCCTCATGTTTTGAAATTGAATCAGAGAGTCCATCATCATCATTATATATATATATATATATATATATATATAAAAAAATGAATTTTTATTATTTGAGAGATTTACAATGGATTTTATTATTCAAAAGATCTATGATGGGAGAAATTTTGCTTGAAAGCATGAAACTGGCTTCATCTTTTCCTTTATGGTCAAGTGGTAAGGTGTGACAGGTTAAAAATGGTTACTTCTGCCCAGAGATAGATAAAAAATAAATAAATAGAGTGCCTACTCAAATACAAGAACATTTAAAGTGAGGTATATATTTTTTTTTAAGCATTTCAACACTAGCAAGGCAGGAAGCCACTAGGACGCAAGGGGTTACAGAAAATTTAGTGCAAGATCAGATAGGAGTGATAGAAGAAAGGATGAGGGTAATGGATAGATCAAGGCAACTGGACATGTCGATTGACATTACAGTTGAATAGCTGGAGATTATAACTCTCAGGGAAACAGGAATAGGGAAGGGAGTTCCACAGGCGAGAGGTGCGAGACATGAAGCTATTGGAGTAGAAGAGATGGCTACTTTTAGGAGTTTCGACAGTGAAGGGGTGAGAGCGGGATGCCAGCTTCGTATGGCGCTTGAACTCATGACGTCTGGGAACCAGCAAATGCAGCTGCTCGGAGCAATTTCCATGAAAGTATTTGTAGAACGGACAGAGGAGGACAGCGCGTCTGTGAGAAAGTGACTGCAGACTAGGACGCCAGAGCAGGGCCAACTACATTGCGATATCCGCCTCTGGAGCCTATCAAGAACCCAAAGGCAAACAGAAGGGCACCAGACCATATGGCAGCAATACTCCATGCAAAGGCGAATTGTTGATTTGTAGATCTGGAGGATCGACTCGGGAGAAAAAACTTTTCCAAGGGGGCTCAGGGAGCCAACTTTCTTCGCGTAGAGCAAGCAATTGACTCAATGTATTTATTCCATCTCAGGTCAGCAGTCAACGTGAGACCGAGAAGCCAGAGAGTTGCTCTCGAGAAGTTGAGCGTCAGACATTCTAATGGAATGAACTCTGTGGTGATTAATAGAGAGCAGTTTTGTCTTAGAAGCGTTGAAGTTGACCAGCCAATTCTTGCCCTAGTTCACAATCGACTGGAGGTCCTTTTCGAGACGCATGGCCAGGTGAGTTTTGTCAGTGAAACTAGATTTGATTTTGAGGCAGGAATAAATTGTGGTGTCATCCACGTAGATGCCAACTTGGGAAGTTATGGCATCAGGAAGATCATTTATGTAGATAAGGAATAGAGTGGGGCCTAGGATGGAGCCTTGAGGAACACCTGCATTCGTGGGATAGGAACTGGATGAAAATCCATTGAGAACGACCTTCAATTCACGGTTTGATAGGAATGATTGTATTAGGTTATATAATCGACCCGTAATGCCATAACCCTGGAGCTTGCGAAGAAGGCCAGTATGCCAAACCCTAT